TACAGACTGCAGCTGCTGCAGATTGTTTACTCTGAAGGCGTTTGTTTGTTTTTTAGCCAGTGACGTTGGTGGATTATGGGATATTAATGGCTCATAACAATCTGTTCATGTTATTTGTAACTTCATAACAATGACCACATGGATGTCTCTCCAAATAAACACTGCATCAAATGAATTTGGATCATTTTAGACCAAAATAAATGTACCTGTTAAGCTAGCAAGGACACTTCTGACTTATAATATGAAAATAAAAGTGTTTTTTGCAGGTGACTTCTGTGATCTGTGGCTGAGTCTTTGACATGTCAGCTTTTCTTTGCTCCCTTTAGACCAGTGGTCTCAAACCGCATTCCTCGAGGACCAGAGTCCTGCAACTTTTATATGTGTCCTTTGTCCCACACACTTGAGTTAAATGGCTAAACTGCCTCATTAGCATGCAGTCAAGCTGCTAATGAGCTGATAGTGGAGCCTGAGGCACAGAGACAACTAAAGGGTGCAGGACACCGGCCCTTAAGGGATGCAGTTGGAGACCTCTGAGTTAGAAGTTCTTTTGTTTCTTGGTCCATGCCTCTTTGGTCTTGGTTTGTATTTTAAAGCATTTGATTTGAGATTGTTTTATCTTTACTGTGGATCATTTTCTTCGCTCTAGTTTTATTTAAAGTATGCTGCGCCTCTCAATACTATGAATTAGTTTTTTTTTAGGTTTTCAGAGAAAATATTCCACAACCAGCATAAAACACATGTACCTGTTCTGGCCCATCTGTATTTTACAGACTGAACCAGCTGAAATCATTTAAGGACGCACCGATCCACGTTTTCCCTTCAGGTACCAACATCAATATTTGAGGTTTAGTATCAGCTGATACAGAATTGACTTAAACACAGACCTAAATATGTTGAATTACAAATTTATTTTATATCTCTGCACCAGTACAGCTCACTTAAACACACCAATGGTTCCACAAGCTTGGTCAAACATGTGAAAACAACTTTCATTTGTTTTTTACAAATGAAAGTTGTTTTTAATTTGTTAGAAGTATAAAAACCAATGTGAAATAAATTACAAAGAAACTGACAAAAACAAATGGGTTGGAAGGTGCAATTAGAAATTCTAAATTTAAAGTAAAATAAACAATAAAGCTTGACGTCGCTCGGAGCACAAAACACAGAATTAGACTGAATAGATCTGCCTTCATAGATCAGGCACATTATCACCAATACCCAATCTAGATTCTTTTTTTTCAATATTGGTACCGATACAGGTATTAACATCAGTGCATCGATGCATTTGTACTTTCAGTTAATGATGCAGTTACACAGTAACGGTGTCAGTATCTTGATGGTTGGCTCTGTTGGTTTTCTTTTACTCTACCACATCTAGTAAGTTGGTCTGCAGCATAGAACCATGTCTACTAGAAACAGTGTGGACGTGGTTGGTGATTTTGAACACAACTGTACGTATTAATTGGAAACAGCTTCCAGATTATCTATAGATTAGAGAAATGCTTTTTAGATTACAGACAAAGTCACATCTGTGTTCCAGTTCTCTACCTGTTCCATCACATTCTCACTGTTTAATGTTCGCAGGCCAGAAGGAGCAGCCAGCTACTGATTCCTTCTAATCACTGTTTGCATGTAGAAATGCTTCATTAATAAACACTGAACAAAGTTTGCTGATGTTGGCTGAGAATGAGTTCGAATTTACAACTCTCCCAACAGTGCTGGAATAATATGCAGTGATATAAATCTGTGTGTAACCCCTAAGTTTTTGTTGTTTTTCTATATCTACTGTAAGCTGCTTGGCTGCATGCAACACTAATATTTTACTAATAACAAAATACCAATGGGCATTTCCCCGAAAATACCAGGGAATGGATCAAAGAAAAACAGCTGCTTACACGCCTCTCCATTAAAATATATAATGGACTGCATTAAGGCTGAAACAATTAATTGTATCAATAGTGATGAATCGATTTTTGAAGCAAACACCTAATTTAGTAATCAATTAATTGTTAACTGAAGTATACAGAGTCAAAAAAGGTAATGTGCTGTAAGAACAACACAGTCAGAGGAGTAATTAAGCCAAAACTGTTAAAAAAAGATAAATTTTGCATTTAAGATATATATATATATATAAACTTTGTAAATATGTAAATATGTTTGGCCCAAAACTCCTCCAGTGTCATAGTTTCAGCTTCATCTGGTTCAAATTTTGGGGAAAAAAAAAATCTCCTGTTGTGCATCTTTTGCTATTCATTTATTAATTGGCTTTTCCAAAAGTGAATCACCAGACCAGCCCTTCACTGTCCTGATGTCAAGTCCAGCAGAAAGGCCTGAGCTGTCCAGGCTGTTATCTATGATGACCGTGAAAATCTCCATTAGAGAAAAATGTTTTTAGCTGCAGGTGAATCCTTTGCTACAAATGATCAAGTGCTCACTAAGGGAATACTGCTGTTGCATTTTAGGCAATAACATTTTTATTTTACTATTTAAAAAACAGATTGAATTGTTTATTTGCATTTTCTTATGCGTTTCTAATATTGTATTAAAGAACGGTTTAAATGAAAAATCTGCAAATTGTGCCCATTTTTTAACTCAAATTAATCAATAGAATAATTGATTTCTAAAACAACTTTTAGTCGCAGCCCTAGGCTGTACAGTATGCTGCATTCTTATAGAAAACACTTCCAGAAAGTTTCTACACTGCATCATAGCTCCAACCTATTCATAGTCCTACCAAATAAATGAAAATTTTAAAGTTGTTTCTGGTTCATATTCTGCTTGACATGCACCGATCAGATATTTCTGGCCCATTACCAATCTATGTTTGTTTGTTTGCAAATACCAGATCCCAATTATTAATAGAATGCTGCATGTTTTTTCACATGCTCTAGTATATATAATCTGTTATGATCAGAAACTTTCCTCCCTTTTGAATGAAGACTGAAATCATTACTGTTTACTTAAGCCTTCCTTTAAACGCCAAAGATTTCCTTATTTCTGTCACAGTTTAGCTTCTGTTTGCTCAAATTTTTTATTTTATTACTTTTTCTTATATCCTACCATGTCTCATGTATTTTTTGTATGGATATATTATTTTTTGAGAATACACAACGCATTAAAAGTTATGAGTAGTGTACAACAGTGCATACTATTTCTGGTTGAGAAACAAGCTACAAAAGTAAACCTCACCCACCCCACACATTCTCTCTACTCAGCAATACATGCAGTAAAAATTTAATGTATCTTTACATTTCACACAAATATCTACAAGGCTAGAAATATGAGAAAAAAATAACATTAAAATTTAAACAATTCAGCAAAGACAAATCAGTCCCTCTGGTCCGATCTCATTAGAATGGAGTCCATGTCCAGTCAAACTCTGTTAATGCCCCCTGGACTGAACGGAGCATGTTAGTCTGTTGTTCTAACATTTCTGGTTTGGAGATTTTGTAGGTTTCCAGTTTTTTTGCCGCAGACGACGCCACCAAAACAAAGTATCTTTTGCAAGGAAATAATTTCAGAGACTCAAAATCTCCAAGTATCCAGATCTTAGGATCAAGATCCAAAGAAAGTCCACAAACCTCTGATGTCACCTGTCTCTCCTGTTTTGAGAGACAGGTGGCTGTCTCTCAAAATAAATCATGAGTTTCAATTACTTACACAGACCAAGTTTGAAACATTTAGAAGATAATCCTCTTTTATTTTGTCTTTTTTTTTTTTTTTTACAGGTTATCATTTCAATGACGTTTGGTTTTTACAAAAGCCGAGGCGAATGACCTCATGTCACAGTTGCTCAGCTGACAACAGTATCTTCAGCGGCGCACGTACTATATATAAACATCTGCATCAGTTAGATTCCTTATCAGCTGCAGTGCCTCTCTGCGGTTTTTGTCCAGGACCTCCACGGAGGGTCCCGGCTATGCCTAGTTTCCCCTGCTTGTACCTCTGTCACAGAAATAGCCCCAAGAATGTCTTTGACAAGGCTATCACAGATGCTGCCTTTTGTTGCTCGACCGGGTCCATTTCCATGGATGTATGAGCCGACAAGCCGACACTAGCCGCAGCTGTTGGCAGAAAACACATCTCTTTTTCTAAAAGCAGCAACAAAAACACTGTCCTCATTGCTCTGAGGACGTGATTTATGTGACATGCTGACTTGTTCGGGGGCCCGCAGGGCGTTTCTTTTCTTGGTTACAGTATCTGGACAATTGTGAATATATACTCTTTGTTGAGAAAATAAATTTAAAATAAGCTAGTTTTAAAACGTAACATGTCTTGATCCAAATGTCCTAATTGTGGTTTTGAAATTAGTAATGTATTCTGGCCTATTGACCTTTATTTTACTTGTAGTTACAGCAGATGGTTTGCTAGGATCGTTTGAACTGCCTTTTGTCTGTGTGGGAAAACAATACAGTAGAAGTTGTAGCTTTTCACACTCATCTGTGAAAAGCCGTAAACACGGCAGGGGTTTCTGGCTTCAGATAGAGGGTCAGAGAAGGTCCTGGTTGGAGGAGCAAAGATACGCCTTGTTTGAATAAATTAAAGAAAAGAAGATAAAACTTTCTACACAGGAGTAACAAATCAGATTTGCTCTTGCAACTCTCCAAAGATGTCTTTGCACGTCTTTGCTTTTCTTCTTCTTTCCATTTATGTCAGGTAAATGAATGTATGTCTCCGTTATTCTGCAGTTTCTGGTGTAAGTTTATGCATTGTCTTATATTGGATTAAACTCTGTAATTCTGTGATGTCAACACGCATTGTTGTTTTCCTTGTGGCTACACGTGGCCCGCCGAGAGGACCTGGGATCCAGAGGAAGAGAGAGCCAGACTTTTTCCAAAGTTAATTAATTTAGATATTATATTCTTCCTTAACAGCTTCACACTACCTGCATGTTGCACCTTGGGTTTATGTTTGTCTTTTTGGTATAAAGAAAGCTGATGAGGTGAAGCCTTGTTCTTGTTCTGAAATTCCTCTCTGCCTTTCTTCCTCTGTTTCTCCAGGTGGGACCAGATGGAGGGTTTGGAGGAAGGATAGACACATTTCTTCTGTCATGTCAGCAAAGGCCAAGGTTTGTCAGGAACATCCTCTCCTTTGTCTTCATTTTGCGCTCAGTCCAGTTTCCTCACTCTTCCACTGATGTAAGAATAACAAAGTCAGCAAAAAAACGTTCAGTTCAGTTTTTTTGCACAGTGCTGATTCACAACACGTTATGACAAGGCACTTTACAAAAACATAAATTCGGACCATTGACACATACATGCTAACAAACAAACAATACAACAAGTTCAGTTTATGGTTAAAATTAGTTAAGTTTTCTATCATACTGAGCATGCATGTAGCAACAGTGGAGAGGAAAAACTCCCGTTCAAAAGGAAGAAACCTCCAGCAGAACCAGAACCAGAACTTGGCTCAGTGTGAACGGCCATCTGCCTCCACCATCTGGAGGCTTGAGGAGAGAGAGCAGAACCACGAGCACTGAGGAATAATTTCTGTTATAGAAAAATAAGATGTAATCTCTAGAAGGAATAAAAAAATGGAAAACATAAAGTTAAAAGTAAGCCTAGACTTAAAAGTAGAACTGATAACTAAAGGCTCTGTCTAACATTCTAGTTTTCGAAGCTCTAGGAACCAGCATAAACCTGCAAACTTAGAATGAAGTGCTCTGATGGGAACATCTGGACCAATCAGATCTCTGCTGTATGGTGGAGTTTGATTAATAAGGGTTTTATATGTGAGAGGGAGAAAGTTCAAATAGAACTTGTGAATATATATCAAGAGTTTTTAAGGAATTCTGTCAAGGGCAAACTTTTCACCTTGCTTTTTTACCCCCCTTTTTTTCAGAATTTATGTTAAATTATTTGTTGAAGTTTTCATAATTATGAGGAAGTTACAGTAGAGTATTAGAGCAACGCTAAGAAAATTTAAAACATTAAATTATGAGAATAAAGCCATAAAATTACAAGAATAAAGTCATAATAATACAATTTTATTCTCAAAATATTATTTTCATATGACTTTATTTCGTAACATTATGACTTCTCTTAATTTTACTTCTTCAATGTTTTATTTTTTATTAGCATGGCCCTAATACTCGTCATCATAAGTTTACCTACAGTGGCTTGCAAAGGTTTTCACAGCCCTTGTTTGTGACATTGCAACCACAAACATGAATGTATTTCATTGGAATTTAATGTTAAATTCCAACACAAAGTGGTATACAATTGCGTAGCACAAAGAAAATTATACATGATTCAAAACATAGTTTTACAAATAAAAGTTTGAAAAATGCGGCATACAAAAGTATTCAGCCCCCTTTTCTGTGAGTTAGGGTTAGGGTATGTCGCTTCAGAAGTTTCCTGATGCCTGCTAATGACTGAACAGAGTCAGCCTGTGTACAGGTCCTTCTCAAAACATTAGCATATTGTGATAAAGTTCATTATTTTCCATAATGTAATGATAAAAATTAAACTGTCAGATATTTTAGATTTATTCCACGCCAACTGAAATATTCCAGGTCTTTTATTGTTTTAATACTGATGATTTTGGCATACAGCTCATGAAAACCCAAAATTCCTATCTCAAAAAATTAGCATATTTCATCCGACCAATAAAAGAAAAGTGTTGTAATACCAAAAAAGTCAACCTTCAAATAATTATGTTCAGTTATGCTCTCAATACTTGGTCAGGAATCCTTTTGCAGAAATGACTGCTTCAATGCGGCGTGGCACTGCTGAGGTGTTATGGAGGCCCAGGATGCTTCGATAGCGGCCTTAAGCTCATCCAACTCATCGCTGTCTTCAGGTGTTTTCCCCCAGGCTTGGAAAACAGCAGTTCTCAAACCACTGATAAAAAAGAACAATCTAGACAAATCACTATAGCAGAATTACAGG